TCCTACCTCCTTCAGCTCCACCACTAACAAGTTATTCTAAGGAGGTAAAGTCGGTGAAGTCCTGGGAGAGCTCACTGAGGCTCAGCAGTCCCTGTCATGAAGTATTTTGTAGAACAAGTTAGATAAATATTGGTCAGCAGCTGTCCCACTCTGCTGTGGGACTGAATCATAGAAACACAGAACAGTTTCAGTTGGAAGAGACCTTGACCTTCAAGCTCATTGAGTCCAGCCTTTGTCCTAGCCCTATAAACAACATTGACTGCATCAGCTCTTGAGGTTCTTCTCAATCCCATTTCTCTAAGGAAAAGAAAAGCTTTCTAAAAGAAAATTGGGGGAAAAAATAACAGTTGTTCTCCAAGGAATGGCTTTTGAGCAGTCACAGCTAAGGCTGGGGAAGAAAACAAAAACTTAATCTCAGGGAAACAGATTAACGCAGGTTAGTAGGAGATCCTGAATGTCACATCAGGGCAGCCAAATGCTTCTGTTTTGGAGATGAAGTCAACACCACAACCCCCTAAGCAAGTATTTCCAGGACAGCCTCACACGTCCTCCAACAATCACTAGTTTGCCAACAATCCTTGCAACAAAACCGAGTAACCTGAGCTTGGCAACAGGGCAGCCACGGCCTACACACAGCACCCAGGATTACAGGGCCACCAGTTGAGTCAAAAGCCCCGGGAGAGATTCGTCAGCAGACCTTGCCTCTAGGATCTAGGAGAGGGGGAGGAGGACAGAGCATTTCCACAGGTGGCATTTTTGACCTCATTGGCCAAAACTCAATCTGAGAATGTAAGAGATTGTGTTGGTCTTTTGCCTGGACATTGCTGAAACAAAACCACTGGCATTACAACGGAGTGACTGCCAGAATATCAGTTTCCTGTCACTGCACAGACCTGAACACGAAGTGAGTTCTGAGAGACTGAATATAAAGCAGGTTCTGAGAAACTCAACCTAGCCCCCACGCATGCCCCCAGACCTGGGGTCTACTTCTTGAGACCCCCTCAGTGATGGCATTGAGCATGTGCACCACTGTTGGTGAGAGGTGGAGTTAAGAAAATCAGCTCTTGGAATATGCAGAGAAATCTCAGAAGAAACATAAATACATACTAAGATGATGATACATGATAAAAGTGGAAGGAAGGACTACTTCATGCTGCTGTTTTCCTCTACTCTTCTTGACTCTTCTTGTCTTTCTCCCAGCCTGACTGTTCTCCAGCTCAACCTCCTTCTACCTGCTTCACTCCATGGATGGATCAGACGGCCAGACCTCCTCAGGGTAGCTATAATCACTAACATCTCCTTTTGTTTTCCTTCCTCTTTTCTCTCTCTCTCTTTTGCACTCATGCACTGGTTATCAGGCAAATAAAGCTCTTAGGCACTTGACTCTGGTTTGAGTCTTAATTCTGTTCCCGGGTATATGAGCAGAACCTGGATGGGCTTGCAACAGGGACCTCAGAACGAAGCCCAGCTCTCTTCTGCTCCCTTGTCCCCAGCGCAGTTTCCGCTCTCAAATCTGGGGTGACCTGTGCCAAACCCTTCTCCTTGCAACTACCCCTAGGGCAAACTGAGGAGGCAAATTGACTCATCCCATTTCACCGGGGAAGCCGTCTGCAATCAGGAATTAAGTGGATTACAGGCTTCCTGTGGGCATTATGGCAGGACATATGTCCCCATATGCTCACTACGCTGAGTCGCATGGTGCAGTGCTGTATTCATTAAGGCGTAGAGGTTCCAGATACAAGAACATTGGAAATATTTGTAGATGCACATAAAAGTGCCTTAGACATGGAATTCTCTGCCACGTGACTAAATCTATGCTCCTAGCACAGCATCTCCTACCTGTCCCCATGTTTTTCTTTGTCACACCTACCTATTACCCCTTGTCTTAATACAGACAAAATCTTTCCAGGAGAGGCAAGTCTTTCAACGTAGTTTTAAGAGTGGAAATACACAATCATAACCAGTGCCACTTTCTGCCCCAGAAAAACAAGTAACGAAATAACTCACCACAGAGTTAGGAGAGCAAGCAGGCTTGTTAGATAAAAAGCATGAGACGGGTAGTGGAATTATTTTACACAGCTGGAGACAGAGCAAAGAGTTGGAGCTCAAGGCCACAAGAAAAAAAAAAGAAAGGAAAAAAACCACAAAAAAAATCCCCAAGACTGAACAATGCAAAAGCAAAGCCTCATTTTCACCAACTAGAAAATGCAGCAGAATTTATGTGTTTATTTGTTCGCTTGCTCAGCTCTTCGGAGGAACAAAGAGCTCCCAAACCAGGACAGATCATTTGGGGAAAATTCCTCAGATAAGAGAATGAATTCAATCTTGCAAAGAGCAATACGGG